TATAAAGAAGAATTTAAACCTTAGAAGATATTAGATAAAAAGATTAAAAATAGATAAATATTTTATTTAGTAAAATAGAAAAGTTATAATAAAAATAATAATATATAGGAACTAGTTAAATACTTAAAGAAGTACTAATATTTAATATATTAGTACTACTAGAAGAAGAAGAATTAGTAATTTTACTTTAAGTAATACTACTAAAGAGGTTCTCTATAGAAGAATTAAAAGTAAAGCTAGAAAAGTTAACTATCTATATAATATATAATAATTAAATTTAAAAAATAAGTTTAGCTTTCTGGATTTATATTTATTCTAGTTCTTCCTAATAACTTTTTTTTTCTATTTCTTTCTATTTCTTTTCTTCTAACTCTTCTATATTATCTAGTCCCTTCTTTAATATCTTTATACTTTTTTTATAAAATTATTTTTATATTTTATATAGTTAGGAAATTTATATAAATACTACTATTAATTCTACCTCTACCTTAGATTTCTTATTCTCTAAATAAAATAATTTCTTATTAATTTTTTTAACTATAAGAAGTTAGGAAAGGATATATAGTATAAGGTAAGATATTTATTTAAAGATATTAGGAAATAAGTACTATTATATAAGTAACTAAGATAAATATATATTATATAATAATTTAAACTTAGAATAATAAAATAGTTTATATCTTTCTCTATATAGTAAGTATAAGATATAACTTTAAACTTATAAGTAAGAATATATTCTAACTTCTAAGTATATTTATATACTAAATTAGATTTCTTTTATTTTAAGATATAGCTAGATATTTTATTAGTATAATATATAAAGGGATAAATATAAAGCTAAATATATACTAAAGTTAGTATAGAATAATAATCTAGCCTTAGGAATAAAACTAATAGGGAGGGGGTATTATATTATAAATAAAGACCTCTATTAGACTATATAAAGTTATATATAGATATAGAACCTTAAGAAGGCTATAACTAATAAATTATAATCTATTATTTAAGTAGAATAATAGATAAGTAATAAGTAAATAATAACTCTAGTATATATATATATTTATTTTATTAATTAGAATACTCTTTTAGATAGTTATTAATATAACTATCTATATATCTATTATTACTAGTTCTATAATATTTATATATTAATAGTAACTTATATTATATAGCTT